ATTCAAATTGTTCTCCCTGAGATCCGCTTTTAGGCGGTGCCTAAATATATATCCCATCCCCTAATCATGATCTAATATACCACCCCTCCCATGTTCATGTTTTTTTACCACCCCTCCCCTAAGCATGACTACTATACCACCCCTCCAATGTTTATGGTATTATTACCACTTTTCCAAAATTTCGAAAAGAAAATATCAGAACATTGGGATCGATAAGTATCGTCATTGACAGTCACGTTCGTTTACGAGTAAATTTTCTAAGCTTCAAGTAAATAAACCTTACGGGCTGTCTCTCTCACTATCGATGGTTTTCAACCATTCCCAAGAGAATTAAATAACAAAAGACACGGCGGCCATGTTGGAGGATATAACAAAAGAATTCATTGACAATTCTTTTGTTAAGTTCCTCCAACATGGGCGCCGTGAAAACCATCAATTCCTCGGCTCGTTACGGGCAATCAGTCTTGTAGAATTAATGTTATTGTATTTGTACTTTTTAGGGTACTTTTATGAATAATAAACACACTATTCGTTCCGAGAAGTCTACTTTCGTTTACCAAGCTTCGATCACTAATTTCTTTGGTTAACTTGCCAGCACTAACAGCAACGGCTGCTCCAGATACAATGGAATGCCTAATGGGAACCCCAAACAAGAAGAATATCGTGTTTACATATCACCGAGCAGTTTGATTGGCTAATAGAAAACAAGATTGAGGGAAAGACGGGAACCGAAAGCGCCTCACAGCGGCTGCGCAGGAGGCTATGGGAGTCCCGAATTTAATATACTTCTATGGCAAATGTTGGAATGAACCTATTGTTTCCAGCCTCGTAYTTCAGGACAGTGTTGTTTCCATTTGTGACGTCACATAGCAACCGATTTATTACTTTGGGATTTTTGTTCTGGTTGATATAAATTATAATATTACGCCATAGCAGTTGGAAAATGGACCAAAAGGAAGGCTTACCTTATTACAGGAAATTAACGCTTCACCTATTCAACACGAATGTCAAACATTCGCGTTAATTTAGGTCGCGATAATTTCCTTTAACGTTAATTAAAACWTAMATAATAAAGTTGGATGTTAATTTAAATGACGCTATTTCTAATTTTTATCCAAAACTCAACAATCTGATTAAATAATGTCAAACGACCCGCAAATTACAACGCATCCTCCGGGTCTATCTCATGATCATTGTGCTGCCATTCATTTACTTGAACCCTACGTTTAGAGGATATTTACTGACTTTAGGTTATACCTTATCACGTTAGCCGTATGCTATGCCACGTCAAAGACTGACTTTGCAGCTGTTAATAAAGTTTTGTCTTGATTTGTTGTTGGGCTCGATCGCGTTAATTTCCTTCCTTTAAAAATCGTTAGCCCCTTCTCGCGTTAATTTCCTTCATTTGAGAGCACTTCCAACTCTGGATCGCGTTAATTTAAGTCGCGTGAATTCAAATTATGTTAATATGTCCAAGCGTGAATTTCCTATAATAAGGTAGTTACGGATTCAAGCACTTTAAATAGCAAAATCCGCCTTCCTTTGTAGTAGCTTTAATATAGTCTTCTTCAATCTGCTTTGTATTTTCTTCTATCCATTTGTTAATATTTGACTTGGTAAAATATGGTAATATTTATCGCGGGACGTTTCGAAGTTCCGTCATTTTTGTCGCGGGTCGGAAATTTGTCTTTTATAAATGGTTAAATATGGCTATTTACGCTCTCAAAATGTAAAAGAAATATTCAGTCGTAACTACACCTCACAAAAATGGTTATTCCAAAATTTGGATAGGACGAGCTATAGAAATTTCACTAGCGTCTGGATAAAGCTCTTATCTGGTCTATTGATGTGAGGAAGTTTGAAGTTCTTGGAGCAGTCGCGTTTTSAAGAAATTAAATGGCGAATATGTGATTTTTAGCAAAACCCAAAATTTTGATTTAAAAAAATTATACAATAAGTTTTTAAGATTTGATGCTGATGTTTCCTAAGGCTCATCCGCAATACTTGGAAATAGGTATGTGAAAACTTCAAGGCAATCTATTCAATGGTAATGTTTCACAGCTGGATGTTTTATATGCTTAAAATTTTGGAGTTTTTAAAATAAAATTGAAGACTAGTATACTAGACGTACGCGTATAATAATTTCTCGTAAATCCTCATGGGAGTCCTCGTGTCTGATTGGACACTTAAAGAAGGTCTAATTTCTTTTATGAAGAGCTTTTCATTAACTAGACAATCGAACTTGGTTTTGCATCTTTCCATGAGGGCGTCGAAACGTCGAGATACTAGTCTTCAATTTTATTTTAAAAACTTCAAGAAACAAACACCTTATTCGTATTCAAATTTTGGGTCGAATTTTCAAGCGGCGTCATAACTTTTTTACTGCCCAAGACTTTCCATCCAAATTTATACACAGGCTGCAATACTACTAGACGATAAGATTCTGAAAATTTCAGAAAAATCGTATAACTTGAGGATGAGGAGAAAAAAGTCAAAAACTAAAAATAGAACTGTTTGATTTTCGGCCGTAATAGTCTAAACATTTAAAAAATCTTAAAATAAAATACACTGTTAGAATCTAGGATAATCCAAGCACATTATATAAAAAAATTCAGTTAAATTGACGCACTAGTTTTGCGAAGCGAGCGAGAATAGAATTGTCCAACATTCGCTCTGAATTAGTTTGATTCCACCTTAATCCAAATTCTAACAAGGGGCGAAAGAGGTACTACTTTTCAAAGGTCAGCTAACATTTCTTTACTTTATTTCACATTTTGACGATTTAATTGAAGTTTTTTGAGCATTGCAATACATTTTCTTATGATATGACACCACAGTAACCTAGCTTGGGCTAACTGTCTTGGTATTATTGACGTACTTCTATGGCTAATAATGGAACGAACCTTATTGTTTATCGAAACAGTTTCCTACCTTTTTGAATTCTAGATCCTGAATCTCAAGACTTTCAGAAAAAATAGAGAATTGGGTTTTCAGCTAAGAAATTAGTTCAAAATAAACACGAAAACAAATAAATGATGAAAATAAGTGAAACTAGAAAACAGGGCTAGAACTATTGAAAAACGTAAAGCTAAAAACCGCCTATCTAGTTTACCACTTCGAAATGTACGTATTTCACACACAAAAAAAATTTTTTTTAATATGTTTTTCGTGATATAAGTACTTTTCGAAATCAAAACAAATCAAATCAAATCAAATACTTACCCAACAATGATGTTGAATGAAGAACTTGATAAAACAACCAGAAAACCCACGAATATCTCTTCCACCAAGACATGGTGTCAGGAGCGCAGGTTGTGAGGACCGCCAAAAGCATCTCAAGATGTATGCGAAGATTGATTATCCTTTGTATTAACCACGGGTATCAATAATCACCTGAATATTTTTGCCCTTTAGGAGATAAGTCAAGCTGTGAGCCATAACTCCAGAAATGAGTACACCATGTGGGGGCATAATTTTTGTTATGTGGTAACCAAAATAAAATAAAAATTGTCTCTAAAAATATCGCATAAAAAGATGAAGAAAACCTGAGTAGTGAGTGATACATAGAGATAGGCCTAATCGGCTAACGTGTTGCTATGTACGTTGCCACCCAATTCAAACCTTCTGGGAATAGAAGCGTTTGTCTCTACGAATTCAACTGTGAAACCAAAATATAACGAACAATGAAACTTAGTCCCATGTGGTTTGAATTGGGTGGTAACGTACATAGCAACACGTTAGCCGATTAGGTCTATTATCACTTGTTTTGGGGAACGAGTGACTACAAAAGGTATCAGGCTCTTCAGTTAATAATTCAATTATACATAATAAGGGTCGATACTGAATGAAAATACAAATGGCAGGTTATCGTGAGCGGTGTAAACAAGGAATAATTTATACGTGTTTTCATTCCCTTCCCAAGAAACGGAGAAATACTTAATCCATTTTAGGCTAACTAAGGGAAAGTATTTCTAAATGGTCTTGAGAGCAGAAACTGAGCAATAATTTTTAGATATATAATGAGTTCTTTAATGCTAAACATGTTTCGGCAGTCCAGCTGCCATCATCAGTAGTACATAGCAGTAGTTAGCTTTGTGATCTATATTATCTACTACTGATGATGGCAGCTGGACTGCCGAAACATGTTTAGCATTAAAGGACTCATTATATATCTAAAAATTAAGGGAAAGTACTTTTTTACTTTGAAATAGAATCTGAGGTATTTCTTTTGTATTTTCCCGTTAAATTCAACCACATTCCTAGATAGTTTTGAAAGGAGTATAATATAACTTTTAAGCATCATATAGRATAGGATATCCACATAAAGAGCTTTAGTATTTTTACGCAAGTAAATATAATAAATCCGGCACTAACCTGCTAAGCAGGCGTTTGGGGGTGGGTTTTCAATACTTTCGTTTAGTTCTTTTCCATTGCTGAGTGTTATGGGACTGGAGATCGTATAAACCACGGGTCTCCACCAATAATATGGGATGGACCGCTCTCGGTACGAGCTACGGGATCTTTATTCTACTTTCTCTTCTTCTATACTCTATCTCTACTCTTCTATACTATATCTCTACTCTTCTTCTATACTCTATCTCTACTCTTCTGACTAAAACTAATTACATGAGCTCTATTTATAATAACTTCATGAAATGTGTCATTCTACAATCAATATGTTTTTATCGCTGTGCCTTGATTGGCTAAAGGAAATAGTAAATTCCTAAGTGTGATATCTTATTTAAGAGTAATACGAGTGAAAATCATAGAACTAAACATAGCTTAAACTAAAGATAAAGCACTCATTAATAATTCATAAGCTTATTGTCCAATTGGAGCCACCATACACGTCACGTGCATGAACCTTTATACCCGATAAAGTCCTCTTCATTAGTATTCAAGTGATTTTATATAAAGACACATGTGTCTTTATATAAAGACACATGCGATCTTTATATAAAGACCACTCGAATACTATGAGGATGACTTCATCAGGGATGAAGTATGCATCCAAGTTTAAAGAAGACATAGAGCTTCATCAAGGTCATAGTCAACCCTAATGATCTTTGACTAACGTGCCTGTCTTTGCCTTGGCACGCAATATCCAACGTGTGGGAGCTTCTATTGAATCTGGTTGACGTCAAATCTCTATCGAAGTATAAAAATCCATGTTCGTGACGTGTATGGTGGCTCCAGTTGAACCAAAATCTTATAAATTGTTCATGAGTGTTTTAAGCAGTTCAAAAAACTCGTAGATCGTGTTTTATCAGGTATAAAACACTCCTACTCGTTTTTTAAACAGTACATAATTTATGAATATATGGTAAATGTATAGAAAGGTCTACGAGGAATA